GAGAAATAAAATTGAAGAGAGCTTTCTCCAGGCCAGCGAGAAAAGGGGGGGGGGGGGTTTATTTTTTTTTTTTTTAAAGAAATTTTTATTGAACAAGATCAACAACTTAGAATGTAGTATAACTTGTAGATCACGCTTTTGAAGTCGGTATCAACAGAAAATAAAGTTAATATATTTTATTGTATGCTTGAAAAAATAAAGGTGGCAGACTCCCCTCCAACATGTCAGCACCACAGCAGTTTCATTCAGGCCAAAAACTTTGAGTTATTTCGTATTAACTAAGTATCATCAATAAACTCTACTCATCACAGTAGGCAACAGGCTGCTGGGGGTCTACAGCAGTAACAGCCAGGAGCTCCTGAGGTACAATGTATGTACTGAAGGAGCTGTTATAGGGCACACCACATCTATCCTGTTCTAAGAATTAATGTTCATAAACCTTTAGGCAACGTGTGCTGTTAAGTACTGACCACTCTCAAAGTTTAAGTGTGTCATTCTGTCAAAAATAGGAGAGAAGCATGGCGAAGGAGAAAACACACTTGGGGAATCTTAATTTGCACTGCCTCACTCAGTAGTGCTTAAATATAGCTCTTTGGGTTTAGAAACTGAATGTTTTCCATCATTTATACCTACACAATTCGAAAGAGTACTTGTTAATAGGAAGCAATACAAAATTCATTGAAACAGATTTCTAATTTCTGAGAACTGAGTAATACCAAAAAGAAATATAAAATTTAAATTTTTACATAAAAAAATGAATCATGCTTATTGATTCTCAAAAGAAAGCAGTTTTCTTCACTAGTTGCTATCAGCATGCAAATAAAACAGAGTGATTAAGAATGCACAACATTTAAAAGTTACACCTCTATTTCCAATGCAGTTGATAAGAAAAATCTCACCAACTTTAACCGGAAAAAGTCAAAACACTGATATTGTATGCTGAGAAGTTTGAGTGCAGAAACTTTGCTTTAATTCCTTTTTAGCTAAAACTAGCTCAATCTTTCTAATTCTTTAAAGGTGTTGAGCAGCTGACATCCCAGGCAGAATCCTTCTGTTATTTTCTTAGACTGAGCCACTTATACATCCATTGCAAGTAATCAAAATTAAATGCAGGGTTAATTAAGAGCTTTTTGCGTGCCAAAGAAACATTGGGAAGGTATAAAAGAAGCTGGTTGGTACCTGATGTGATCTGGCTTTTTCCTGTCATGTGAAAAAATGGGGTAGGATTAAAACATAAGGGAAAGGAGGAGAAGGAATGAAAAATGCAAAATGAGCAAAATAAGCAAAGAATTAGCATGATCTGAAAATACAGCAGAATTAAAAAGGAAAACATTTAATGCATCCAACCTAAAAACTATATTCAGAATATACTGGTGTTTGACAAAGGCTTTTCTCCCTACACACGTTTATTCACGTGTATCTTTCTTCATGATATGGACTTATTTTTCATTTGAATTTCTAGGAACCAAAACAGCTTTCCACCTACTGCTCCACAATAATAAATGCACCTGATTTCAGTTCCTGATGCCTTAAGAAAAGCTGTGTACAATAAGATATATTATTTACAAACACATAGACATATTCAAAAAATAGGTCTCGATACCTGTTACTGTAAGACTTTCCAGTATAAAGTATATTACCTGAAATACTCATGTACATTATACACTACCTATTTAGTCACAATAAAAAGACTGCAAAATCTCCAGCTCTTTCAAAACACAGCAACATTGAATTGCAAACAGCTCTTGTGGTTTACTTTGTAATCCGCTCAAATACTATTTGTTTCTCAAGCCAGTGTCATGCAGAACTATCCCAAGAACAGGAAACTTGATGCAAAAGCCCAAATAAGTAAGTCTTCAGACAATTAAACCCAACCTGCCAGCTGTTCCAGGAAGAAACTACATCATCCTAGCAAGAAATTAGCTTGGATTGGAAACAAAACAAGTCTTAATTCATTAGAACAGATTTGCCACCCTTCAAAGGGCTGTATTAGATGGGTTTGATTTTTTTCTCCCCCAGCAACCAGACTTTTCCCAGGATAATCCACTATGGTGTCCATGGATTCATTGACCAAGACACGCACACCAAAGCATCATAACTATCCAATTTGTTAGCTAGAATCATACTGATGTGTGCCAAACCCAGACAAAACCCGTTGTACCACTTCCTTTTCTCTTATGTTTTTAATGCTGGCAAGTATGCACTAATAGGGGTAATTGCAATGATTTTTGGTGCCTTTAATTCAGTCTTAAAGGAGTACTTAAAAAGGCCTAGAATCATCAAAATACCAACCGATACCAACAGAGGGAAAAAGAGAAGCTACCATTTTAAATACATGTTACTACTTACAGTGCAATCAGCAGTTAGCAAGGAAGACTAGTGCTGTTACCCTTGGTTCAGAACATCAGGAAATTCCAGTATTTCTTTCTAGGCAAATTCTTCTGGTTTTATTTCAGCTGGTTAATTTTCCACCCACCTCCCCCCAAAGGTAAGCATATAATGAAGCAGCAAACTATCTATTCGATAAGAACACTGAAAATATCTTGTCTGTCTTAGGGTCTCTGACTTCAGCTCTGATTTCTTTCATATAAAATACATAGTTTTCTAAATGTTTCCTCCTTTGGTATTTCACTGTACATTTTTATGAACAAAACAGTTTAATGCAGTGACACAGTCCTTTCTTGTACTCTACCTAGTGACTGGAAAAAACACTCTCACCTCTAATACATGGCAAACTTTAATCAGTATTATCTCCCTGCAGCTGAAACTGCAATACTACGTACATAAAGCATTCCATCAGTGGAAACAGGCAGTGGAAGCGGCAATAACCACTTCAGTGCCTACAATGTAGCAAGCAGTTCCAAATGTTTTCAGAAATAAGATAAAAATACTTCTCTATTTTTATTAAAACATGAAAAATGGGGCTAGATTCAGAACCTAATAGTTGTCTTCATTAAGGTCTTAAAGATATATTTTATGTATGATAATAGTAGTAGTACTTTCATAACCATTAGTAATGGTTTGTGAATGTGAAGTACAAAATTAAAATGATTCATTCGATTTCTAAAGTGTTTAGAGATAGCATATCCAATGCTATTCTCTGCCTAATTCTGAAGCATCCAACCAGCCTATCACAGTGAGATAAACAATCAAGAATCTAAGATTAAAAAAGGTAAAAGGTTATTGAATACTCCTGCAACAAATAGAAGAAAAACTATAAGCAAATATAAACTATATAGTAAAAGTAGGTAGCTCTGATTCATTACTGAGCTGTTTACCTTGGCTCTCTTAATTAACTTATTGTTTGGATATGTTTTTATTGTATATGTTCAAACCTGTAACTTAACCTGAAAGAACGTCATTGTGTACCTTAATTTAATTATGACTTCCCCATATTTATTTTGTGTCCATTTAAATTTCCAACATACAGACGTTAGTTTTAATTGAACCCTACTCCCTAACCACCTTAAGGTAAGATACATGTGCAGTATTACTAGGTATGAAGCCATGTGGAAGAAGACTATTTCTCAGCATGGTGGGTTGACTTTGGCTGGATATCAGGTGCCATCGAGCCCCTCTACCACTCCGTTCCTCAGGAGAACAGGGGGGTGAGAAAAGGAGATGGAAAAAAACCTTGTGGGTCAAGATAAAGGCAGTTTTAATAAAAGCAAAAGCAAAGGCTATGCACAGAAGCAAAAGGAAAACAAAGATTTTTATTCTCTACTTCCCATCAGCAGGCGATGTCCAGCCACTTCCCGGGAAGCAGGGCTTCAGTACGCACAGGGGTCACTCCAGAAGACAAACGTCGTAAATAACGAATGCCCCCCCTTTCCTCCTCCTTTCTCTTAGCTGTTATTGCTGAGCAGACATCATGTGGTATGGAATATCCCTTTGGTCAGTTCGGGTCAGCTGTACCAGCTATGTCCCCTCCCAAGATCTTGCCCACCCCCAACCTACAGGTGAGAGGAGGGAAATGTTGGAGAGACAGCTGTGATGCTGTGCGAGCACTGCTCAGCAGCAGCCAACACACTGGTGTGCTATCAACACCTCTGTAGCTACCAATACAAAGCACAGCACTACGAGGGCTGCTATGGGGAAAATTAACTCCATCTCAGCCAGAGCCAATAAACTCAGCTACCTTCCAACGCTCCTGTCCTGCTCCCTCCCATTACCTCCCTACAGAGCAAGGCCTTTATGCTATCCAAAAGAAGAACCCAGAGAGCGAGTCAGGGTTTTGCTTTCAGTCAATTATCAAGAGGCTGCAGTCAATCCTGCAAAACACGTGGCAAAAAGGACCCTTTCAGCCTGTTGAGAAGACAATACAGGACAATCTCCTGCCTTGTTACTGTGGATTTTTCTTAGTGTGCTTACAGTACATTTATTTCAGACCAGGAACATGTTTTTGAAGTGTATCTCCCAGTTTTCTCCCTTCACCGTCCTTTGATGCCTCACAGATTTGTCTTGGGGAGCTCTGACGTCTGCTTGGATGAAACTAACCCAGAAGGTACATTACAATTACAGACAGATATTCAGACCACAGGACCAGACTAGAAGTAGTCCAAAGCAAAATTCCTTATACAAGTTGCACGACTTGCTAATACAGATATAGTCTTATTGACGCTAGTGGCCCTCGCATCCATTTATGGATTTAAGTGAAGCAATCCCAATTTGTTATAGACTTGCAATATTCCAAAATGCTCAAGGAATTGTAGAATAATTAAGGTTGGAAGGGACGACATATCCAAATGCACATTCTGGCCTTTGAAACACAGCCAATAGTTTAACAGAAGTACTGATGCAAAAATTGCAGAGCATAAGATAGTAAAAAGAGCTCTATATCACAACAAATTAACTTTAAAATTCAAGAACTGTATCTAACTATACTGTAAATGCTCCAGCATATATAACATTTCCTTAAAAAAAGCATACACCCTTGGAAATGCAAAAGAAATCCTGTTCAGGGGGAAAAATATTTAAACAATAGTAAAATATACATTGTTAAAGAGACATGACTAACAATATATTTTGAATTCCCAACAGGACCATCAGAACTGCTAAACAGGAGTCACTGCACAGGACAGGAATTGTAAAGGATAACAGTTACATGTTTTTCTTTCAGGAAAAATAACTTGAGTACTTGAGTCTTTCACTGTGTTTCCCTGCTTCCAGTGGCTATACAACTTCCATCTTGCTTTGTCCCCTAACACTTATAATCCCAGCATATACATTCACATAGCTTATTGTGTACAATCATAAGGATTGCTCTGTTTCAACCCCAAAGACCAAAACGCAATTACAGAGCTGGACTACACACAACAAAGCAAGCTTTCCATACACAGGACTCCTCCAGACTAAGATACACTCTTAGAAAAAGGTTTGCAAACAACTAGGACAGAAAATAAGGAAAAACGGCTTTGAAGCATCACCTCTACGTTAATTAACAGAGTTGCCCAAGCGTTCTGTCAAAACTGTGGAATCAGTGAGTTGCATAGATTATGTCAGACCAGAATTTAGCTTAACAAGCAGTATCTTAATAAGCTAGTAAATAGAGGTTCTGAATAATTACCTGTTCCAAGTCTTGAAGGCATTGCTGGCTCGCTTAAACAGATAACCTTCCATAACAATACCATTGGCTGCATCTACATTGTATTCTAGTTTAGTATCATCACTGGAATAATCCTAGTACAAAGGAACAAGACAAGAAAAAGACATTGCAGTTTCAAATGAAACTTCAAATATGGACAGTATTAATGTCAAAAAGAGTAAACATTTAGGAATAATATTTTGCTTGCAACACTTATTAGTCAAGCCATGACTCTCAGCCCCTGACAATTTTTTTTTTTTTTAAAAGCATTTTAGGAGTTCAGAATGCTGAAGATTTTTACTTTACCTGCACACAAGGGGAATTTCTTGCTCAGGTATTGATGACCTCTATGGACAAGTAGAGGGCAAACATTATTGACAGAGCATTTGATGCTTCAACTGTCTACTCAAATGGTCTCACATATATTCCAAAGAAAGGGGAGAGTAAGGTAGAGGAAAAGGGGCAATGGGAGTTAGGAGTCAAAACTGAAAAGCAATTCCAGCCTGTTGCAGACAACTGTACAGAGCCAGTCGTGCTTTAGCATTTCCTTCAGCTCTGTCATCTTGACAAGTGAGCCGGATCAGAACTTAGAAGACAAGTAACAAAATAAAGACGATGCTATCAGTTATCTCTAAATTGAAGTGGTCAGGATGCTGGCAATGATGTCAAGAACTTAGCAGTAATTTTTTCTTTATGATCTTTGACAAGAATATGAAGCTAGAAGTAGGACAAGGGAATATATATTTTAATCAATCTAATAACAAATAATAACAGCTAATAACAGTTAATAACAGCTTTACAAGTTTCAGAAAGGTTAACTGCTTCACGTCTCCAGCAAAGGTAGAGTAGACGAAGCAGTAATACATGTGGTGATTATCTGCTTTCATATCTCATCTGAAACAGCATGGACTCTTCCCAGGGAGTTACAGAGCTCAAGTATTCAGCGAGTGGGAGGCTAACAGCTACCAGAGGTGCATGAAAAAGCACACATGAAATGACATAATTTATCATAAGCTATGTCCAGAGATCAAAATAATATACATGCTATTATTTAATTTCACTGTTAGTAAAATATACCCTTAAAGTAGACTAGCAACATATGGCTTCTTCCTCCTTAACTAGGGCAGAAGAGACATCACTGAAAATTAAGTTTCAGAACAAAAAACCCAGGTTAAATACTGAAGATATGGGACATCTCATAATGTCATTCTCCCATACCTTCAGCAGGTACTTTTTGTAAATTGCAAACATCAGCTTTGTATGAAAAGTATGTCTGTAAATCTGTTTTGCACTTTGCTCCTTAGGAATTTGTCTATACATATGGGAAAAGAGTCTATACAAAAAAAAAAAAAAATCAGCTTCAAAACCAATACTGTTAGCCCAATGTAATGTTCCAGCCTGCACACAACTTTTCTGCTACGTGCAATGTTTACTCTTATACATGCAGGTGGTTTGGTCCAATCCAAGGTCAATTAAATAAGACAGTGAAGTGGTTATAAATATCAAAATGGGCCCTTTATGCTCCCAGGCCAGCACAGCACCAAATTCCATAGAATTACTTGCAGTGTTTTCAGCTATTACCAGTCTGAATAGATTAACTAAATTTGCAATTTTAAATCTAAAATTTTTATTAATACAGTGGCAGAAGATCAGTGCAGAAGTAAGAGTTCCAAAAGAAAATGGAACTATCATATTGCTACCATATACTGATCTGAATAAACATATAGGTTGCAAATAAAAGCGCCCCTAAAATAAAAAATTCGTGCATTTATTATTCAGCATTTAGTAATTTTGATTTTCTGCCTGTTTTCTAGATCAGAACATGCTGAACATTAAAGAACTCATGTAAGCACAAACAGCCAAATATCACAGTACAATTTTAACTTAGTATTTCACAACTTATATGACATACACAAACATTTCAAAGTGTTAAAAGTCCTTTCTAGTTTTCTGGAGGGTTTGGGGTTTTTTTTTTTTTTGAGGGGATAAGAAAAGGAGAAAACCTCTGTAAGCACAGACTTAGCCTGATGTCACGTTCCCTGCCCCCTCCCCCCCCCAAAAAAAACCCTGATAAATTACTCTAACTTACCAGCTCCCACACATAATGAAACCTGCTAAAGATTTGCATCTTCCTGCCTCTAGTGATGCCTGCAGCTCCTTGTCTAGTGAAAGACAACATACATTCCCTCAGTCTTTTCTGTCTAAGCTACTATGTAATCACATTTTCCTCCAGGTTTGGAGAACTGCTGTAGAAAATGCAACTGTCTTTTCCAATGAATCTAGATTTACGCTTTGAAGACATATACAAGCATGACAGGAAAACTTTGGATCATTTATCATGCTACACTCTCAATCCAAATTGTGTAAAATACTGAGCCTTCCTCATGAAGTGCATTTAGTGTCATTTTTAATGGCTTCCCTGATTGACTTCCACCTTTACAGAGCAGATAAAGACACAAGAGTATACAGACGAATGTTTAATATTTTCCTAACTATACATAGCGGACTACCAACCGGGGGATGAGGGAGTAAAGCTTTATGCTTTATATGCTTTATCCATAAAACTTCATTGATAAAGTTTAGGAAAGGAGCAGTCAGAAAAAAGACGAACAAAAAAACTACACTTCGTTTCAATTAAAAGGATAAAAGTAGAAAAAGGAACCAGATAAGCCATGTCTGATCTTACAGTCTCTGCTATCTTATAATTAAAGAATAGGAGAAAAGCAGTCACGTTATAGTTTATTTTTATCTTGGTGCATGGAAAAGTTTAGTGAATCACGAAAAATAATCAGGGGGTGGAGAGACATACATCCATATCTTTCCAGTGTCCTGCATAAGAGAATCACATGTTAATAAACCCAGCCACTTTATCTGATTCAGAATTTTGTATTCCTTAAGCAAACATGCAGCTGATAAAGACTGAATTTTAAACATCATTTATTTATTAATTAGGTGTCAGTTAGGACTGAAGTACATTTCACCGAATCGGAACTAAGAAAATTAAGCCAGAATTATGAAAGTTACACTGAAGTGCTACATCGCACATTTCACTCAGATTTGAAGGAAGGAACATCTATGGCTCCTATTCTGCTAACATTTTTCAAGGTCGGCCAGCTACTGGAAGAGAAACATGTAGAGGTGGGTTATGTAAGTGAAGCACACAGCATGCTTTCATGCTTTTTTTTTCTTTTTCTTTAAATGTCCATGAGGGATAGCAAACCAGCTGGCAATGGAAAAACAACTTTCATTTCCACAATTAATACTAATCTGGTGGGTCACAGAATACTTAGTATTCTTGACAGTGTTTCAGTGAATGCATTTTCATACGAACTTACCAATTTATCACACATAGTGGATTCATTTCATAGCTTGCATGTTTGCTGTTTCTCTACGTACAATTTTCTTGTTACGAAAACGTAAACCCCCATACTTTTCAGAAGCAGAGTTTTCAATTTACTTTCAATATGAAGATTGCTAGCAGGTCATGAAAGCTACTCAAACCATTTTGCGAGTAAATCTTAGGGAGTGTGAGTATCAGCATTTTAACACTGAATATGTATTCAATATGTTTTTTACTTTAGAGAAGCAGAATTTTACAAGTTTTTAAAAAAGGCAGTAAACGGGGGAATACAAGCACCAAAGAAAACACTAATCTGAAAAGTTAGTCCAGCACACTAAACAGAAGACACTAATTGTGCAACCGCCCCGTTTAGAAAGTTGCTTCCATTCCCATCCCATCGGCAAAAAAGAGATGTTTGTCATGCTTAAGTTGAAAGTCCCTTGAGGAAGGGCTTAAAACAACAACAGACACAAGTAACAAGGTTTACAGTCCAAGACAAAGTGAAAGAAGGCAAAAGAGTCACTGAGCATACAAGTCACTTGAAATACTGGCACATCTTTGTTTTTTGAGTCAGGAATTAGTTTGCATTACTTCTCAACAGCAGCTCTGGTTTATGCCTGCTTTATAACTGTGGTAGCATCTGGTTTCCTATCACCTTGTTTACTCAAGATGTTAAAAATTTTCAAATCATTCTCACTCCAGCTGTTTCCTGAGCAGTTCTTCGGATGCAGATTTTTTTGTTTTAAATGAAAAAGGGATTTGAATACAACAAAAACTATTTGAAGTTCAATGCAAACGTTTTTCCTGTATCATTTCCCTCATTTTAGAACAAAATATTAGCTGTCACAAAACCAAAAAGCCATAATGCTGTTTACAGGTCCAACTGATTTTTGAATTATTTCTTAATTCAACATGTTACTACAGCAATAGGCTGCAAACTGCTCAGAAAACATGAGTTATAAGTCTTAAGTGATAGCGACACTGTGACACCACTCTTTTTATAGGGA